ATGTAACTAATTGAAATACTCACGCTATTAATAGCGCTTTGAAATAATAAACGCTTCTTGTAAAAATAGTTTAGCATTTTTTGGACCGGGCCTTATTTCTTTCATGTATTTATTTCATATGACTTTAGGTAGGTTTACTTTACCACTGTGACAACATGATGTGTATATTCTTCATGTTTTTTTTTACTTCCAAAATAAGTTGCTTAGCATAACTGGCAAAAATAATTACTCATCTCTCCAAGTGATTGTGTACGTGGATTCCTTACTGTGAGACCAGGCCTCTCCTCTGCTCTTCTCATGCGTATAAGATTTCCTATTAATTGTCTCCTCCTACTGTTTTCAATATTTTTCCTTTAAACTCAAGAAATTGTCTGTTCTTCCAACAAAACTGATTGACTATTTAGATTTGTCTTTATAACCTCCTAAATATTACAAACATCAATATTTACTCCCAAAAAGCTGATGGTGAGTTTCTTTTTATATACAGCTGCTTTTGTTTTTTTGTTTTTAAATTGACCTTTGTTAAGAGTAAGAGTTTTTAAATTCTAAAACCTGTATGCAAAACTACGAATTGAGAAGAATTATTTGACACCTCAAACGTTAAAATCGGTCCAGAAATAGCGGAGGGGTTTTGTTCACAAAAACAGCCCTCACGTATTAATATAAGAGACTAGCTGTAACCCGCGGGCTTTGCCCCGTTTAACTTCTTAATTTTTATTTTCCGATACAGAGTGTGCCAAAAACTGAGGGTCACTAGTTCGAATCTCGGAATTTTCATATGTCATGTTATACATCATTTTAAAGGTATTTAATATACAAACATTTTAGCGAAAATATAAATGAATTATCTTTTTTCGTTTCAAAATGGCAGAAGTTTATTTGGAAAAAAATCAATATGTTTTTAATACTCTGTGTTTCCTATACCAATGCATTTAGCCCTTCTCTGGTTGAATTTTCTTACTCGTTATGAAATTAGCTTTACTGTGATTTGTTACAATAACGGGTTTTTAAAATAATAAAAATTCCAAAAAGAATTGATTTTAGAAAATTTGCCATTTTGAAACGAAAAAAGATACTGTAATTCATTTCTGTGTTTTCACCAAAATGTTTGTATACTAAATACCTTTAAAATGATGTATAACATGACATATGTTTACTTTTGAAAATTCCCGAGATTCGAATTAGTGACCCTCAGTTTTTGGCACATCCTGTATCGGAAAAAGTTGAAAATATTTTTACGTTATTCATTGGGGTCGATTTAGCGGGAAATAATTTCATTTTATAATCAAATTATTCCATAATCAATTTGAGACAGCTTCCATGGGACACTCATCCGTATATGTGTGTCCATGACGACGATAACTTGAGTAATTTTTATCCGATTTTGATAAAATTTTGTTTGAAAGTGTAAGGCGGGATTAACTTGAATGAATTCGGGAACCAGCATGATCGGACCATGGGAACGGGGTTTAACGGGGTTTTATGGGGTAAAAATGGGGTTTTCTTGTTTTTTACCATTAAAACAAAAGAATTATCAGTTTTTCTCCAGACCTTTTTAAAGAGTTTAAAAAACAAATAGATTAGCATATCAAAGTGTTTTTACACGGTTATTGGTTACGGAGAAAATTAAAAAATTGTTCTTTTAAAAATCCCATGTTATTCTTATGGAGAATATTGAAAAATGTTGTAGTTGGCTTGTTTATGGATATATTTTGATCAAACTTGGAACTTTGGCAGATTTATTTATTTTATACTAAGCTATTAATATTTTAATAAAAAACACACTTTATTAGTTTCCCTGTAGCAGCAAACCTAGGTACTCGTTAAACATAAATGTTCATTATCAATCAATCAATCAATCAATTTAATCTATTAATTTAAAACCAATCCAGGCAAATGTAAATTCGCTCAGTCGGCAGGTTTGCTACAGTGGGAGTATTTTTATCATGATGTTGGGGTGAATAATTACACTTAGGATTATTTTACTGATTGTGTAAATAAGATTGTGTACTGTCCAAAAAAGAGTAGTCACAATAAACCGATACAAATGATAAAAATGATGATAGTTTCGGTTGGTTCGATATTTTTCATATTATACAATGGTTGAATATAGATCAACGATCAATGTTTTGCTCTTATTTTGGGTTGTCTTCTATTCATTTTTACAAGTTATAGCTTAGTCTAGGGCTACAACCTACAACCAAAGGATTACCCTGTACTTGAAAGATTATTTTCAAACAGAGTCTAAATAACTTGAATTTAATACTATTGCAGCATGCAGACCTGATCCTGAACAGTGGATTTATTTGCTCTCAAATTTGTTTGTTGCCAGTGTTAAGTGTTAAAACATTTTCGAGGCACTATAGCGAATGTACAAAATTTGGCCATGCGCTTTTAAGATTGAGTAATAATTAACGTATATTAAATTGATATTGAAACATTATTTAGTGTTTACCCTCTTATGTAATTTTCATATTATATTGTTGTTTAGCAAAAAACATAAATATTAACATTTAGGGTAACTCAAACTAGATTTAGGGTAATTTTAGCCCGCCATTAGGGTAAAATTGCAACAACATGGTGGCAACAATGTGACACACACCCTGCCTGGGGTGTTGGCCATAAAATCCAACCTAGGATAGGATGGTAAATAAATCCATGCTTAGTATATTTAATTTACTTAAATATAATGATAAACTTGTTGCTGGATGTAATCAATTGTATTGTGCTTTTGGGTCATTCCAAAAACAAAAGAAACATCATCTTCCAATCTTCTAAAGAAGTTCGTGGAAATGGGAAAAGCCTTTCCACCATGACGTTTCATATTGTGGGTAATCTCATTTTTTTTTGGGAGGGTTGGGAAAATTCATTTACAACCATAGGTGGCGGGCCTGTAGTGTAGGACTCCCAACAGGTTTGAGACCCAAAGAGTACCCACGAAAAACCTCCTCTACTCTTAGGACAGTAGCCTGTGCCTGGAAACACTTGTCGCATTTCATCAGAACTGGTCGAGTTTGCCTACGCCCGAAGGGCTTACTCCGTGTCTAGCCGTTCATTTCTTACACAATCTAGACTGCGATCCAATCTAGATTGTCCTTTTTAACTTGAAGGATATTCCGGACAAAATGCAACCAGCAGTCCCAGTTTTCCTCATCCTCCAGCAAGGTCTCACAAATAAATTCAACTAACAGCACCCCAAGATGTTGAATGGCCTCCTGGCAGCACATATTTCATCGTAGACAGCGGAAGAAAGTATGTTCCACGTCGTCGGGAATCCTCAGGCAGTAAATACAGTCAGGTGAATTGGTTTTGGCCATTAAGTACAGGTATGACTGAAAATAGCCATGACCTGACAAGAACTGCGTGAGATAGTAGTCGATCTCACCGTGCCGTTGTTCCATTTATGGTTGGACCTGTCTGATGAGTCTGTGCGGGAGCGCTCTTCCGTTCTTGCAGTGACCTTGCTGATGTAGCCTTGTCTATGGTAGCTTGCCTTCCTATCCACTGCCAACAGTTTGACAGGGGTAACTCCAGTAATCGCCAAAACAGGCGGTTTGGACAACACTCGGTACGCGGAAGCGACCCTGAGTGCCACCTGACGCTGCACTGGTGCGAGCCTCAACTTAATTGTACGCTTCCTTGTTGAACACCTCTGCCCACACCTCAAAGCCGTAGAGTAGCACAGACTGGACTGCAAACATTATGGTTGGACCGACGACGCCCGACATTGGCCATTAGCTTACTAAAAACGGCAACATTTCTAGCAGCCTTGTCTGCTGTATGAAAGATCTGGTTCCTCCAGCTCATCTTGTTGTCCACCATGACACCAAGGTACTGGACAGTTCGAACAGTAGTGGCAGTTCGCGTGGTTTGGACAACTAAATTCCCCACTCGTAGCAGGACGATGGCTTCAATCGTTTACTTGAACCTCAATAACAAGACCCGCGATAACAAGACACCCTTGATTATGTGGGTCATTTTCAAATCTCCTTGAAATTATTTTACCCCTAATCACATGTTATTGCAAACATCGATAAGAAGTCAATCTTAATAACAAGCCTTCTTTTATAATCCCTATGAGAGTCTTGTTATCAAGGTCCTACTATGGAATGGTAAACTTTCATGAAATCGCAGCAACGTGCAACAGGTATGCTAGTAATGATTATAAAAACATCCGTTTTAAAGAACAACTATGGACAGCAAAAGCATTTCTAAATGTATCATATATTTTGCACTTATTTTGAAATTATTTATTGTATCACAATGCTTTTAAAAGGAATACAATGAGTGACATATCACTTGTTATTAAAGTTACTATTGTATTATCAATCAACAAACAAGTTAAGCAACCAGTACTATTTTTAAATAATTCCAGGTCGAAATACACACCAGTTCCCTTATTAATTGTAAATATAAATTCTTACCTTCAATATTTACTTCCAATTGATCACCCATTACTACAGCTAAATAATGAAGTAACAGGCCTGCCCAAACTGACATAAATACAAACTGCTATCAACAAAGTCTAACTTTATCACTGCCACAATCTTAAGTTGTATTAGGTTTATTTATGTGAGGTTGGTGGATAACATATTATCATTGTTTGTAAACATCTGACTTAATGACTAATGAAGTGTAAACAGTAAGATCCCATTACGTATTATTATTATGACACTTAAAAACTGCTTCTTGCTAGCATTGTAATATTATTCAATTTTCTCTGGTTAAACCACTTGTTGATTCTTTTTTATTTAAACAGCAGCATTCTCTTTAAAAAGTGAAACCTATTATGGACTTAACAGCCAATGGCTGGACTATAATATGCTCTGGGCCACAGATACTAGAAAAGACCTGGTATGGATCATAAACATAAACTAATGACGTTTTTGGCCCTAAAAAAAACATCATTTAATATTGCTCAAATAGAACTGCCAAAACATGTTAATGCTATTAGTATAGGATTTGGGCCAACAAAGTAATTTATTTATGTTTATGATCCATACAGGTATTTTTCTAGTATTCGTGCTCTGGGCTAATGCATCCATCAGTTTGGTAAACAGCTTAATTATATTAACATTTCGTTTTCAAGTTTAATTTAAAGTGAAATATTAATAGTTAAAAGTTATAAACCAAAAATGGCACTTAAAGTTGTCTAGTCTGATTTAGGATCCCACAAATATTCTGTGATCCTTCAAAATAACTTTTTTAACACCATCCTAACTAAGCTCTCAATAAAACAATTAGAGGGTTGGGGTACTAAAATACACATTTATTTCTCGTAGACAAACTTAATACATCAAAAAAATATTCTAAATAACAGATAAGTGAAACATTTCCTTAAAAATTGCTGTTCAGTTACAAAATGCCAAACAGAATAGGAGACGAAATAACATTTTTTATAACAAATAGCAAAATGTAAAGTATTTTACCCCTAAAATAACAGTAGACTAAAACTATTCCATATAATGTTCTATTTATTTTTATATTTTTTTTTAGTAACAGAAATTGACAGATTATTTGACTCCATTTAACACTATTCTCTCTTTAAGGGCTAAAAATATTTGTTTATCATCATAAATAAAACAATGACTTTGTTATTTTACATAAGTATGTTTTTTGGGTTGGTACCAATCTTTAATTTCTGGAGTTACGGAACCAAACAAGAATCTTATACAATTTGTATACTCATCCAATTCTGAAACATGATGTTGAAATATGATATATATTCTTACAAATCTGTTTTTTTTTTAATCTCAAGTTTAAATTCCTGTTTTCACATCACAATATTTGTATGTTTCTTAGCTCGCAAGTAATATTTTTACAGCCATCACTCTATTTAACAATTTTTCTGTGTTACCAGAAGACTGATAACTTTTGCCTTTCTTCTTTTTGATTTCTTTAAGTGGTGTGGGTGAAACCTCTTCCAAGCCATTTTCAGCCTAAATGTAGTCAGCAAGAGCATCATCATAAGTATTTGCTGAAAGTGTTGTCTTGTGTTTCTTTTTGTGTTTTCTATTTTCTGAACTTTCATTAAGTTCACCATAAGTCTCTCCTGATTTCTTTGCACTGGTTCTATCATTACAAACCTCAATCAAATCATTGCAAATTTCAATCATGCCACAATCGCCATTTATATCAAGTAATTTCTTTTTCTTATGTTTCTTTCCACGTTTCCTTTTTTCTGCACTTTCCTCATTTTCAATACTAACACCTTCTGTGCTTTCCTGTCTTGTTTCAGCTCTAAAATTGTCTTCAACAATGTGACTAACTTGACTTAAATCACTATTTTCTTTGGTGTATTTTTTCTTGTGTTTCTTTTTGGGTCTCCTTTCTTCAACATTTTCATTACTTTCAACACACTTTTCATCCCTAATTTTTTTATTGGGTTCAACTATGCAAACATCGTATGAACTAACTTTACCATCAACATTTTCTAAGGAATGTTTTTCTTTGCGTTTCTTTTTTGAAAATTCTATTTCATTGTTTTCGTCAATAGCAGATGAGATGTCTACAATTTTTTTGCAACCTGCTTGAAAAGAGGGTTTATCAGAAATCCCACAAAAAGTTTTTTCATCTTCATAATTTAATGATTGTGTCTTTTTACTTTTTTCTTTGTGAGACTGTGTATCTTGACTTTTCTGAATTTCAGGAGTTACAACATCAATAACAGCTTTTGAATGTTTCTGTCTTTTGCTTGATGTACTATCTTTTTCAAAACCACCTTTAACGTTGTTAACATAAAGATCAGCAAGGTTAAGTTTATTGTCACTACTTCTATGACCACTTATTTCTGGGGTTTCTTTTTTTACTTTTTCTTTTGTATTTTTTTGAGACGCTGTGTTCTCAGTCATTTCATTTTTATTTTTATTCATATCATTCTTTTCCGTGACCTTAGTTTTATCTACTTCACCAAGTTTATTTAATCCTTTAGTTCTTGACAATATGCTCAAATCTTTGTCATCACTACAATTTTCTCCAGATTTACTTTTCATTTTCATCAGCTTCGCTCGCTTATGCCTTAGTTTGGCTTTAGATACTTTAATGGTTGATTTGCTGTCACAATGTGAGTTACTATTGGCACTATTTTGTATTGAATTTATTTTATTTGTGTTCTCCTTACTGCTAGATTTATCGTTCTTTGATTTAATGGTAGTCTGTTTATTCTTCGGTTTGATGACTTTTTTCTTTATCTTTAACATTTTCTTTCTAGCACGTTTCTTTTCTGAAACACTCATCTTTTTAACTTTGAGTTTAGCCTCTTCTGAATTGCCAGTGTTTAGAATAGCTTTATCTCCTTCATTTATTTTTTCTTGACTATGTTCAACTTTTGATTTTTTAGGAGATGGTGCATTGATACTATCATACTTATAACCTGACTTTTCTTCAAAACCTTTTCTTTTCTCTCCTCTAAATGTATTTTCTACTTTATCGCTTCTAAATGTATTGACATCAACATGGTTTTTCCTTCGTTCAAACACTGTAATAAAAAACCCATTTGTTTGGTCAACTTCAGGCTGACAATATATACATTTATCCCCAAACTGAAATTCTTTTGATCCAAAGTTTTTCCATCCAGGAAGTTGTTTTCGTGCTGATACAACTTCAAAATTGTCATTGCAGCTTTGCAAAACTTCTTGAACAACGTTTTCATTTTCTTCAACGTTAAGAGAACACGTTGAGTAGACAACTCGTTTAGCTGCAGGAAACCTGAAATGCAAAGCTGTAGTCAATATCAGAAATTCGCGATTGAAGGTATTATATAAAAAAGCTTTAAAACTAATGTAATTTTGTTAATTGGTGTTAACATATAGATTGGAGAATACGATGCTCCAAATCTTACAAGTATTTAGAGTTTTGTATAACATGCCAGTACGTATTTCCCAAGGATGTACAATATATTATATATAAAAAACTCAAGACAAAATAGGGTTTCATTTTTGGTACACTTCTTACATATAATAAATTAATGTTTCTGCTATTAACCACTCTAATGCAATAGGAAATTTTAGGAAATTATCTCATTATTGAGCACCTAGCTATCGAGGTTTTAGTAATGGTAAAGTTAAAAACACTGTAATAGTCTACCACGATTGCAGAAATATCCTTGATTACATAATGCGGTTACGTTCTTCTTCCAACATCACAACCTTGAAAAAAGAGAACTAATCGAACACTGTTAATGAATGGGTGCTCCTGCTCAGCTATAGGCTATTGCTGATTATACAACATTTCCCAGTTCCATACACAATTCACATACTTCGCCTGGTAATCAAATTTCAAGTACCCTTCCTGATTTTCCAGTTGGCTGGATCCCTAGGTTAGTATTTCAGAACACATAGCTTTGTTTTAAATTTTAAAACAGTGCCTTTTTCCATACAGAACACATGTGGTTCAGATCAGCAGGACTATGGTGTATTTATTGTAGAACATTTTTATTTGCATGCAAAATAATACACAAAGCATTTCTCAACAAGTATAGCTACATAAATTTGTAATGGTTGTATTGTAATGTATTGCTAAGTAGCTTTACACTACAATAAATGCCATAGATAGAGATCTGACTTTTTTCCTAAGTCAAGTTCAATTGCATGGGTTGATGAATAATAAGTGGGACAAACATTTTTAGGTAATGCTGAACCTAAAATTTACCTGTTGAAAAACAGTTTTTTGCCAACAGATTTATTTGTATTCATCACCTGGTTAAAGCAAATCGTAGCAATGTAATTTGAAATCCAGCCAGTTTCTCCAGTCTAGTCTTCTCGTCAAGTCGTGCTTTTAGGTTTGTTGAGGGCTGTCTCAATCTAACTCCTATGAATAAACAAAAACTATTTAGACACATATTTAGCTGTTTCAAAACCCTGCAGACTAAGCAAATTTTCTTTGCCTGAAAAAAGTTGTGGGAAGTTTGTGTGGGGCCCCAGCAACACAACACTATCCCTGCACTACTCACCCATGCCTCAAGCTGATACGAGACACATTCCTCAAACTATGGCTGTCAGGTTAGTAGTCTTATAAAAAAAAAAGTTTTAGAGTAAACTACATTTTAAAATCTAGATTTGAAATACCCCAGCCACAGCAAACCTGATGACAAAGTGAATCATATGCTTGATTTGGTTTTCACTCAAGTAATTCTCAATGGACAGAATTTCATGGACTTTCGAATAATATATATTTCAGTGAATCATGTTTTAAGACTGCGACTATTGTAGTAGCTCTGCCACTTCACAAACACGTAATAATTTATTGATTTGTTTTTGTTGTTGTGAGATCATATGTTATTATATTGAAATGTTTTTTACACCATATGATAGGAAATTTCTTCCTTATTGCAGTGGTACTAACGGGACGGTTTGTTTTTTTTTAGACAAAAAATATCCCTTGTTATGATTTTTTTAAAACATACCGTGTTTGGTAGTTTTGTGACGCGTATATGGTAAAACTGACTGATCGAAATTTTTGTTCACTTCAGTGCTCAATTAAAGTGATCCCTTTGTGGGTTAAAGTTCACTTATGTAACAAAGTGCAAGTTTAGAATCTTATCTTTCTAACAGTATAAACATTCTTCCCTTTTACAATAGTTTTAAATTATTTATTTGAAGTTAACCTGAACTCCAAAACCCTCCTTCCTTGCAAAACGCGACTTATAGTCGCTGCCAATACAGAAACCACCTACCGCGACTATTATAGTCACGCTGGCATTTGGAGAGTTAAGCATAGACAACTTAACTTCCAAAGCTGACAGCGAACCATAACCTCTAAACTTTAACAGCGATTATCATTTAGTAGCTACAGCCTCAATTATACATACCCGAGCCAGTGCATGATGGGTCCACCAAAATGTACTCCACATGTTTGTACTTATCAACGTCCAGTTGTGTTACATCTTTTAGAATAGTTGTGACATTGTCAGCCCCGCTGTGTTCAATCATCTTTTCCAAGGAATAGTATCGTTTTTCATCTCTCTCCACTGCATAGACCTTCCTGAAAATTAGTCGAAAGTTTAGATGACAGAATAGACTAACAGTTTTAAGATCCTGAGTAAAAACTGAGATATTTTTTTGTTAACAATTTGATTTACATTTTCAACCCTGTCTTTGTTTAAAATATAATATAATGGAATTGAAGTCGTTTCTGTCTATAAGTATGTTTATCTGTTTGTTCAGTGTTAATACAATTGGACCAATTGGACTGAAATATTACACGAATATAGATCATAAAAATTGTCAATCATATGCTTCAAATCCTCTCTGCCTAAGCTTTGTGAACATCTAAAGTTGATTAGGAGCCTTTTGAAGGAACACCAGCGCTGTTTACATCCTCCATTTGCCAATTTTTTTTTAAAAGTAACTATACTACCACACGGCTGAACATTACATAGAATTGTATAATAGCCTCCTCAAATACAAGTCCGTAGCATGGGTGTGTGGAAACATTGCACTGGTCAGTCTGTTGCCATGGTAATAGCAATAAGACAAGTGTGCAATATTATAAGCGTCTAGGCAGCCAGTGCAACTCACAGGATCGTGCATCAGATCGGAAAACCCCCCACCACCGCTCCATGCCAATGGCGTGACGTCAACCATTACCGCAACGATACGTAGCAGAGGTATGAGCTTTGGTGGTGATAATGGATAGCGTGTCGGGCTGATAAACAGAAGGTACCGGGTTCGAATCCAACTGGCAGCACTAACTTTTTGTCAACAATTTTTTCATATCAGCAAGTTTGGTTGGTTTGGTTAGGCACAGTTTAATTTTATAATTAAAAAATTATAAAATTGAATTTCAGACATTTATAATTTTATTTTTAGGACAGAACTATTTTTTCGATTAGTAAACCTTCATTCGAGTTTTTCATTATCAGCAAGTTTGGTTAGTTTGGTTAGGTTATGACAGTTTAATTGTATTTAATTTAAATTTAACCTACAAACGATACGTTTTGACAGCGATAGTGATAGAGATAACAATTTTCCGCGAAAAGTTAGGCTATGCTGATGCGCCGGTATAATTCGGAAGCGTACGACATGGTGCGATGGTGGGGGGTGTTCTGATCCACAATCCTCGGAGTTGCACTGACTGCCTAGACGCTTGTTGCAATATTTTAAATATTGAACAGATGCTCCATTATAAATTAGGTTTTGTCACTTTTGTCTCACTGCGGCCTTGTATTAGAAGAGGTCAAGGTTTTATTACATCGAGTTCTGTTTCTATGACCAAAGATGGGTGTGTTTGGGAGATTTAAAGATTTTTATTATTCATTTTTGCTTCCCCAAATCACAACAAAAGCCTGGGTAAAGAAACTATAGGTCGGCCGGTTAGAAAGCGTCGTCCTCGTAGCATTGGTGCGAGAGAGATACCGACCTGTGGGAGTGAGACAGACTATGGCTCTTCCCCCACTCCGCTGCCGCCCCACCCCCAACCTTTTATAAATATTAACAGCAATTAAGTTATACAGCTGATCAAAATGTAAACAATTACGTTCCTCATAACTTGAGAAAAATAGGTCCTGCAAAAATACTGTATAGCCGAAATCGCATCAATATTTGAGCATCATGAAATGTTATTATATCATTGTGTAAGCAGTTCCATTTGATAACACAGGATTCCAACTCCCACGACACCGGGGCGGCGCTGTGTCGGTGTCGTATCGTGCATAGTGAAAACGGCCATTGGCGGAGAGGGGAACATACCCTCCCTCGCCGTTACCTCCCCTACATGCGCTAAAAATTTCGCGCAAGTCGTTTTCTAACCGGCCGACCTATAGTAGACCATAAAGAAATTATTTAGATAAATATAAGTCAGCTGGTGTTAGCAAGTACATTCTAATAGGCGTATTTCACTGCTCTGAACTAAACATTGTTGTGAACATAAAGAACATAATTTTCGCAAGGTTATTGTAGATATTACCTGAATTATTTTTGTCACATTTTACTACTAAGTCATTAACTTGCAAATAAATAACAACATACAGTAGAAGTGTATTTTCTAGTATAACTAATGTTGAATACAGAAAGTATACCAGCCTACCCAGAGGAAGAGTAGGAAGCCAGCTGAATAGTCTTGAGTCCCGGAGCTGCACACATGTCCAAAACATGGCTGTCCCTCTGCGGTGACAACAGCAACGGTGCCAGACAACTTGCCTGGGGACATAAATTGATGAGAAAAAGATGAACGAGATACTACTTTTAGAACAGCAAAACTGATTTGCAGCTGCTTAGCCAAAGAAAAGTATAACAGCAACTTAGAATGTTTTGTACAGCAGATCCGAAACATTTTAAAGCCATTATCCTTACCACTCGGTTGGGGTGGGATACGGCTAGTGGTACTAGTGATTAGTGAAAAACATGTGTTTTGTTTGAATCAAAATGTTTTTCAATGTCCACGTAGTGGTGATACTTGTGTTAAACTTTGTAACTAAAACAAATCCGAGCAGATGGGAAGAAGTTGCCTTGACTGTTATTGAGTCTTTACGCAGAGAAACAACATTTGCAGCAACACAAAAAACGTATTAATGAACAAAATTACTATCAATATAGACCAGCTGTGGAAATTTTTTTTATTTAAGAGTCTTCCGTAGTGGAAGCCATGTTGGATTTCTTCCCCATAAGAACAATGTTAAACATTACATCATTTGTGGACACGTAACGGCGTTATTTGTTAAGATATAGCTTTGAAATTTATAATTTGTATTTTTAACATAATAGACTCGTGACTGAGGTTTTTGAATTTCGAAAATCCATTTTCATTTCCTTTCAATAATTAGCTTAATTTTAAGCTAATTAATAATCAATTATTCATTATAAAAATTAAAAATTGTGAAATAAAAAACGTCAATCTCTAGAGGATTGCAATTCCTTAAATTTAACTCCTTATCCATAATTATATGACAATTTGCTGATGAGATATTTGGACCCAAAGTTAACATTGTTCTTATGGGGAAGAAATCCAACATGGCTTCCACTACGGAAGACTCTTAACATCATTGTCAAGTCACTCACAGAGTAAAATACTTACTGACAAAATTCAATTTTCTTTTCTAAGGTTTGATACTGAGAATTAAATGAATATTCAATTCAATTCTGTAAAACAGTAACACACACTTCGGTACATATTTTAAGCTAAATCAATGAAGGGCAAGAAGTATCGAATGATGTAAAATATTCAGTGTTGCCTTGTTACTGAGTAAGACCAGCTGTTTCTTAGGCAGGATCATTTAATAAAGACCAATGATCAGGAGGACAGCTGGGTCCAGTTTTCAACCAATATGAGTCCTTGGAGCCTTTACATTATAACTCGTAAAACAATTACACAGGTAGAAAGAAAATTTCTAATCCCATAGTGCACTAGATATTATTTAAGTTACAATCAAAACAAATGTAAGAAATCCCAATCACATGTTTTATTTACAGTGTGGGGTGAAAAATAGAGAAGTCTGTACATAATTGGATTTTTTTGCTAGAAGCGGTAAGGTCTGGTGGAATATGTTTGAAGATAAACCTTTTTAGTGTGATAATGTGTTCATACGTGTCAAACTTGATTTAACGTGAGGTTAAATCAAAACAAACAATAATAATATATTCGTAATATATATCGTAATATATATGGCGTAATATATTCTTTTAATTGACAATAGTTAAGTATACTTACTTTAATAAAATCACTTGGTCATTAGAGAATTTTACTGTGAAATATGAAATGAAATGAAAATCCATCTTTATTGAGGCGAACTTAGGACCTCATGGTCCTTTCTTGCAGTTAACCTCTACACAGTTAAATAGAGATGTGATTCCTAATTCCAAATCAGCTAATGAATTAATTGTTATGTAATTATTGTCTTCAAATTAAGTGATGGTTGCTTTAAATATAATTAATTTAACGTGAGCAAATATTAAAATATTGAATCTTCTTGCAAAGTTAATGTCGATCATTATATTAATAGAAATAATGCAGTTGCTGTGACTGGGATGCACACGATAAACTGATGGAGCATAATGATGATTTACGTTTAGTTTGGAAATATCATAAGATCCAGACCCACCTTTTAAGGGTTTTATAGTTAGGGATCAGAATTATATACTGTCGAGATGACGAGATAAACCTTTATAGACTAATATTTAGAGTTTTGACCCATTTAAATTATAATTAACAGCTAAATTCTATTGCTAATAATTCACTTATGCAATCTGATAAATTTACCAGGTATCAAACAGGAAAACGTTATACGATAGCCCAAGTTAACAAGACTCGAGTTTGGTTTATAAAATGCAGTAGGTAGCCTAAATACTGAATGTTTTCTTATAAATCAGACGATGACATCTACTAAATTAATTAATTTAATGTTAAACGAACATTCTTCCTCGTAAGTAATACAACATTGTCCCTAATTGACAACTTGCCAGTTTGTTTGTTTTGATTTAACCTCAAAATTTGATATGTGAACATTTTTGCACATGATCACACTCACTACAGCCAAAAGGTTCATCCATCCTTAAAGATATTCCAACATAACTTAACCGCTTCTAGCTAAAAAAATCCAACTGCAGGCCTACATATTTTTGGTTGAATTTTCGACCACTGGACGACCTCTAGTTGTATGAATGGAATGGATCGTTTTATTTTAGACAAACTAGGTTTAAATAAATTAAATAAAAAGAATTGTTTTCAGCCTAAGGATGACAAATCTACTAAAAGAGTGTAGGCCTATGTTTAATCTATGGTATCACGTACTGTTATGGAGTTCATGTTTTGGGGCCTGAAATTGGAATCAATGGACACGTTTTTTTGCAGGAATGCTCTGTGGGTTGGATTGTTTTGTTTCAGTCCCACAAGCATGAGCATTTGCTAAAAGCATAAAATTGCCAAAGTGTTTAAGACGGCATTTTGTTAAGGCTAACCAAGACAATTCTTAAAAAAAACTTGCATTGATAACATTCCTAGTGGAGTGGTGTTCAAGCAATTAACTAACATAGGCCTACAGGCATGATATAGTTTTTAATAAAGGTTTGTAGGAAAGAAACTGTGACCAGAATAGGGGGCGGAAAAATTATTTGGGCCTAGGGGCGCCAAAATGCTAAATCCGGCCCTAAGCAAAGTTTTGCTGCACATCTGCACATGAGAGAAATGTTTACTCGAGTGCAGCAAACAGGCAGTTTGCACTCGTGTTACACATTATATATTTTCCTACAGTTACTATAAATCATATAAATAATTAGTCTTTCAAGCAATGTACAACTTTTTTTTAGGTTATATTAAATCCAAACATTGAACGGAAACTTAACTTTTACATAGGAATGGAATGTCTATAGTTCTATCTATAGTCAAAGATATCACCTTACCTTATCCATGAGGATAATTGAGCCATTGCAGTACAGTTCGTAGTCCTGGAACTCTGTTCCGGGAGGAAAAGCCAGAACTTCAGGTAGATGAAAGTCTTGTATAAACCCTGCACTATTGGGCTCCAAAGATCTCAGCTGATCTAAGTAATCCTCATAACTGTTAGCCGGCTTCAGTTTCTCCCAACCATCTTCTTGGAATTTCTCAATCACAGAGTTTACATTGTCCTTGATTAAATTTATCTTGACAAACCTCACTAAAATAATACAAAATTCTTGAATTTTTTATTTCACAGTTAGGTTTTTCAGATTGATAATATATTTTAAGTTCAACTTCAAAATAATTACAGATAGCCTACACAAAAAGATCAAATGGATTTATCTTTAGACTAACATACATCAGTTGGTCAATCAAGCTCAGAAACTTCTTGAATTGAATATTGTTTCATTAAATTTATATCCTTCAATTTGTTAACCATCAGAATAACAAGGAAAATAAAATTTAAAAATGCCCATCACAATTTGGTATCTATATATTTATACGCAAGCAGTTTTCTTTTCACAGTCATAACTCGATAACGGCTTGACGGATTTTAACGTTTGAGGTGTCAAATTAAAGGTATTTTCACGTAGATGTGCAAATACGTCAGAATATAAAAAATGGCATCAATTAAGTACAGTTAAGGGATAAAGTTTCGGAACGGTGGCGCTATCTGTTGACATTAGATCAAATTCAATTCCCTATGTTTACAACTACCGGTACCATAGACTAACCAACACAAGGTTTTAAATGACTTTAATAACTGGAAACAAATTGTAAACAAAACACGACCTCTACATAAACCGTACAGAACTAACAATAAAATTGTCTTCAGCTGTTGCATAAGGATGAGAAATCTACTTGGGGGAGTATGTTTTATCATAGACAAAAATAATTAAATATAGACCGTCAGCTGTGCTGCGGTTACCATAGGTTCTGGCGCACACCGCTGGGATCGCCACGGTAGTTACAGCAAGACAGCTGGTTCTGACAGAGTGAACCAAGTGCCTGTCCAGATGGTGTCTTCAAGCGAGAATTAAGTCCGTGATGATGAGATTGATGATGAATTACTTAGTATTTCTGATTTGTTTTCGGAATCTGGCAGTGAATATGCTCCTTCTTTGCTGTTTACAGTGAAGTCTAAGTTATATTGTCAATTATCGTTTATTTTATAACAGTAAAAAGATGTAACTTAGTTCACTCGTTTTCTAATCAAGGTAACCTGCTATCAGCCAAAGTGAACCAAGTTACTTTAAATTTGTTTTCAGTTTTATTTAGGGTTACAACAATATTGAGTATTCACAATTTTTATTTACACTATCTAAGGCATATTAGGTCCTAATATAAGCAACCAGCGTCACTCCCACTAATTGGGGCCGAGTTATTCATATTGCCTTATGAACTCTATACCTTCCAAGTGAACAAAGTCAATCAACCAGAGTGAACAAAGTAGCTAAAATAAATAAAATGGTTCAACCACAATGAACTAAGTGTTTGCATTGTTAAAATTATATCTATTACAAAAGTTATTAAAAGAGGGAATTTTATGTTAATGAGCTCTAATACCAAGAAAAGTTCACATATTTTTAAAACGTTTTTATCAGCTCGCTTTCTTGTCCGGTACAAATTTTGAAATCAATTTTATATTAACTTCCCGACGAGCTAGAGACTTGAAACATAGCTCCGAAGGATGACAATGCAATATTATATCATTTAATTTTCATATTTGCCTTGGACTACGCCCCATGGGCTTGTTTTTATTAGCTCGCTTTCCTACAAATTTTGATATCAATTTTAAACGAAGTTCCCGATGAGCTAGAGACTTGAAACTTGAAACATAGCTCACAAATGGATGACAATGCAATATCGTATAATTTAATTTTCATATTTCCCTTGGGCTACGCCCGTTTGGCTTCCGAATTTTCCATGTTTACATTTTAATAGAATGTAAACATATAAATTAATTTAAGTCAGCTGTAAATACTTAAATTTGACAGTTAGAAGAGCAGAGGTTAAGAGGTACAGGTTCTGCTCCCGAGATATTGTAAAAATATAAAACAATCATTTCAAAGTAAAGGTAAAACATCTGATTACAGATAATAAGGTTTTGGGTTTTGGTTATGTATTAAGAGGCTATATAAAATAGATTTAACATATTTACACATTAAAGACTAAAACTAGATAATAATTTATAAATAAAAATACTTTTTAAAAATGCCACGTTTTTAAACGCATTAAAAAGTATAAAATAATTTATAAAATGTTGAGAGAATAAATACTTGTAAGATTTAAAACGAAAAACGTGGGGCGCATGCTGATTTACAATTAACTTCACCTATTGAACTATTATGATCAATTGCAAGCGCCCCACGTTTTTCGTTTGCAATCTTACAAGTATTTATTCTCTCAACATTTTATAAATTATTTTTTACTTTTTAATGCGTTTAAAAACGTGGCATTTTTAAAAAGTATTTTTATTTATAAATTTTATGTGGTATGGTTTAAATGAACTAAAGTTGAATTTTTTTTTAATCCAAACTTTAACCTCATTTTCTCAAAACATTGAAAATGTCACTTATTTCACTATGGTTTCACATGGACCATTTAAAGTTAGTAGATAAAAAGGAATCCAACTTCATACTATTGTGTGACAAAAAAACCAATTTTACTTAATATTGATGTGACATAAAATTGAGGCTATTTGCCCAAATTCATTGGTTTGGGCATGTTTGCCTGCAGCTCATTACACAATTTGACAGAAAACAATAAGATAAATTAAATATCCACAAGACTTTTACTAACTTTGATTAATGGAACATAAAGGATTTATCTCGAGTGAGGCAATTCATTAGTTGCACAAATAACTATAAAACAGATGGTTCTAACTATTAATCAGTCCCTTTCATAAAATTTATAGGTTTACTGGGTTCCCCCACTACCTTTTTACTTTTTTTGTAGTATATGTCAGCTGATCAGCTGGCATCTGTTATTTCAATGTTTGGGTGACATAGAGGGGATGAAATCGCTTCCCCTCAAACTGCCTATTAAGGTTTTTGAACTGTTGTTTTTTAACTATTTCTATTTGCAGTGTTTACCTTATTTTCTTTATTCTTTTATTTAGCATAAAACAATATTTAATAGAGAAATGTTATTTATTTTCTTATTTACATGGGCCAAAATGTATTTATATTTTGATTACTAATAATCACTATACTCACAACTTCTAAGAGAGGTTATATTTTCGTATATAGCCTCTCATTGCCACTAACAGTGGTACAACGACTCATTGTACCAATCACTAATAGTCCAGCATCTATAAGGGGTTGAGTATGCACTGAAAGTGTAACTCTTTTTGACTTTTGATTGTTGTTGGGGGCATCTTGGAGATGACAAAAACCGATGTTGTCGCCCTCCCAGCAGGTGCACAACTTGGGGGGGGAGGGGGGAAGGTGCTCTGAGACGCGTTCTATAAAATCGCTTATATCTCGTGAACTAGACACGATAGAAACAAGCTCTAAACGGCATTGTATTACCAACTTCATCTGCTTTAAAAATGTATCTTGGAAAAGTCCCGTATCTATAATATTAGTTGAGTTATTTAACAATTTATTTAAAAATTTGAATAAAAACCCCTAAATAACGTTAAACTATCCATTAAAACCCCTTTAAAACAACAAACAGTAAAGTTTTTCATCGTGCATAATACGTTGAACACGCTAAAGTTACTTTATATGGTAATTATATCGAAATATTACAAGGTTATGCGAGGTTTCCGATGAAGCGGCACGGTGACGCCGCTGCACGGCAGAATTCAACGTGTAGTACAGACTTGTAAAAATTGGGTATGTACAGAAAGTGTAATGCATTTTGACTTTTGATTGTTGTTGGGGGCATCTTGGAGATGACAAAACCCGATGTTGTCGCCATTCCAGCAGGTGCATAACTTGGGGGGGGAGTGGGGGGAAGTAGCGCTGAGGCGCGTTTTAGAACATCGCTCATACCTCGTGAACTAGACACAATAGAAACATGTTTTAAACGGCATTGTATTACAAACCGCATCCGCTTTAAATATTCTACAATGAAAAATCCCATATCAATGATACTAATTGTATTATTAACAATTTAATAAAAATTACAAATTTAAAGTCAAAATACCGTTTATCTACCTATATAACTCTCATAAAACAATGAATAGTACTGTGTTTGGAGTGCATTCTATGTTCAACACACGAATTACAAAAAATTAAGTTTACTGTACTTTCCTTAAAATAATATGTACGGAGTTCTCGAGTTAGCGAGAAAATAATAAGCGTATAATAAGCTGTTTTAACACTAGGCTATTTTAAATATAAAAATTTAAACAAAAATCTAGGTACAACTACCAAAGAAAATGCTTCAGTTTAAAATGTATACGGTTTTTAGCGAATTTCCCATATAGGGAATAAGCTATTACCGTAGTACTCATGGTAAGACCTGGACCCGGGACCGATTTATTTTTTCGTTTTGAGGTCCCTAGAGGCCAAAAACACCATCCGTTCAAATTCATATATATATATATTTATATATATATATATATATGTGGCCGTCAGCACGATAATTCGAGCAAAAACGATCCGATTTTGATGAAATTTGGTTCAAACGTGTAAACCTACATTTATTCGATCGAGTTCGCGAACCAGCATGATCGGACTATGGGAACGGGGGTTTATGGGGGGTTTTATGGGGTAAAAATAGGTTTTTCCCATTTTTGACCCTAAAATCACAAAAATTTACAATTTATTTCCAAACCATTTTGTAGAGCTTAAAAAAACAAATAATTTAGTATATTGAAGCGTTATTGTGCGTGTTGTATTAAGTCTGTTCTTTTAGTCATATGATTTATTTGTGTTTAAATATCTTTTGTTGACAGATGATTTTTGGTAAACATGTTTTTGTAAACATTGGTTTAGTTTGAAATAGAGTTTGTTGAAACAAGATGTGTGTTTAATATTCTTGGATTAGAAATAGAACATGGTGGCAGCTTAGTGGATTTTTATCGAACTGAAAGTCTAAAACCACGCATAATGTCAAGTAAGGGCAGAAAAAAACGAAATACTCGGAGGCAAAGGTATGAGGACAACAGTGAGGACGACGCCCAAAGTGAACTCAACTACGTTTCAGAAAGGGACTCTTGAAAGACTAAAGATGAGTCACCAGGATTTGCATTGGGACATACAA